ATCAATCAATCAATCAAAGTATGCCACCACCATTTTGCTTAAACATGATACTACCACTTAAGGTTTTGTGATTGGACACCACAAGTTCACTAAAGTGACAACTGAGACTCTCCACCAAGAATTCTCTCTAGCTGTTGCTTATCAATGATGAGATTCAAAGAGTTTGCTTACAAAAAAAATTAGTAACATGAGTAATAGTAACAACTGCAAGGATGGTTTTTACTTGGCAATTCAGCCACTGTCAAGTTCATCCAATACAATTTTCAGAAAAGTCACTAGAAAAAAAAATGGTGAGCATGCTGGAGGAACCCTTGCTTCACCTCTTATTGTACCATCCCATTAAGGTATATTAGACATTTATATATAATATATCCCATAGATGCATCAACTTCATTCACAGAATGGTTAGACCAATCATAAGCTGGCAGCAATTGGGTACAGAGGGGTGTGCATGCCTTGTGTGTGTCAGTGGATGAAGGTAAAGGACTCAAGGAATGTGCAATTCTAATTCCATGGTCAGTGACTAAGACGGTAGATTAGATGCCCCCGCCAAGTCGACTTTTACCTCTTCAACCTCTTCTGTGGCATGGTTCTAGAAGGAAAAGGAAACACAGCATTGGTGGCGTCTCAAGAAAGTTTAACTTGTCCTGGTTAACAGGTTCTTCCTGTTGGAAATTAAGATGGAATTACATAGAAATACTTCTACTGTCAAGAAAGGGACAGGTGCTCTTTCTGAAGGCACAACCAGGTTGAAGTCAGTGGAAAAAATTAAGTATTTCAAACATCTGGAAGCAGAAGGAAGTCCTTATATCTGTTTAGTTCTTCAGACATTGATATGAACTGTAACCACGTCCTATTATCTTTCAGAAAAGGGGGAAATAACTCCACAGAAGATATTCATACTAATCAAAAACAGACTCACATCTCTCACTTTGCAAAAAAGATTAAGGTTTTCATCTTTCACATACTTAGCAAGCTGTGGCCAGTATAAAGTATAAAGTTTCAAAGCTATAGCTATCAAAGTATTTTCCATTATTTCTGATGGGAACATCTGCCCTGCTCCCATTGTACCTCTGACCAAGACTGCAATTGCCAAAAAGCCTTTTGTGTATATCCTCAAAGTTTAATATATTTAATTAAGAAACAGACTAAAAATTCCTGAAGTCAAAAATTGGTGCCAGAAATTGCTGTCAGGTCTAAAATATGACATTACATTATTGTATTGTATAGAACAGAAAGCCCAAGAAAATGTTAAGGGGTATAGCTGTTTTGCAATTGACAATTATGATTACTTCTGTTAAATAATATTTGTTAACATCATATATTTTCCCAAGACAAAATTTAAGTGGATTAATCTCAAGTATGAGAAATGAAAGGTAAGCTGAAAAGTTTATTGGACTCAGATGAGCCTAAAGTATGCATTTTTATAACAATACAGCTGTGTTTGGAAGTTGTTAGAAAAAGACTAGCCTGAACACACTACGACGACTCCACAACATTTTGGGCCAATGTCTTTCCTATCTCTGCATCCCTGAGATTATTTATAACAGTGCATGTTAGGCATTAGAACCTGGAGCTTCTAACAGTTAAAAGGCCCAAGGGCAGCAAAACATTAGTTATATCTTTAACTGCACTCCACCATGTTTGCATAAATCAGTTCTCTTCTACAGTTTTTCAGATTACCTTTGGGGGAAAAATGTACAGAAGATACAGTTATAAACACCTACAGCATTTTCACAAAATCAACTTTATGAAAAATATTAGAGGATCCAATTATACAGTAATGTTCAAAAATAAATTATGATAGGTCTGTCCCCATCCCCAAAGTGAAAAGAAAAAGGCATTTAATTTGTTTGTTTAAATTGCACTGAGCACCAAGGTCTTAAAGTAATACTATATGTATTACAGGCTGAACATAATGTGATATTTTTTAAAAACATAAATTTGGACTTTAAAAAATTGGTATACAAACCAGCATGTGATCTTAAGAGAAGTGATCTTTCAGGATTCCATTGAATGTACCTCCTTTACTAGACTTTCTGTACACCAAGCACAAAAAAGTAAAATACACTCGGTAAATACACATATTTACCAGCCAGAGTTCAAGTTCAAAAACAGTCATGTGACCTCAGGCCTCGAAACTTAACTTCTGGATGCTGTCAAAATAATGAAATGTTTCTTCATCTTCTTCTTCTCCCTAACATCTGCCAAAAAGTATTAGGGAAGGCAAAGGTAATTATCAAGGAGGAATGGTACTGACTACTTTGGCTTCCTGCACTGATTGCTTTGGTACAGCTTCAAAAAGTTACGCAAGGCATAAAGTCACATTGAGCAAAGAGAACATCCAGAAATGCGGAAGTTTACCTGTATATGTTTGGGTCCAGAAGCAAAGCTGTATCTTTTGGTAGTTTTGATAAATGAACTACTTTAGTTTTTAATTGATGTCTTTCACTTTCATTTACCCACACATCAGGAAGACTATGAATAAAATAAAATATTCAAAAAAGGTCAGTGATCCGCTCTCCATAATCACTACTGGTAAAAGCAGGTGCTGTCAACAGTTATGGGAAATCCACATCAATGTTGCACTGGCAAAAGGGTTTAGCTGGAAATCTGCTTCTATGTGAGCATCGCAATCAGCCCAAATGTTGCTGGACTGGAATTCCAAAATCCTTTGCTACAGGCCAAGGCTCCCCTGCAAAAGGCTTCACCCCTCTTATGAAGCAACATGAGAATGTTAACCAGGGGCTGGCCCAAGGCTTCTTCCAGTTTAATTCTACCACATTAGCTATGACGATTGGGATATGAGACTTGACAGCATTACATGCCTAAATTAATCACTTGGATGTATTAAATTCTATGGCACTTTCCAGAAGCTATCTATGATGTGTCAATAGCCCAAAGCTATCTATGCGAAATGATAGGAAGGATGCCACTTGGGCTCTGAGGACAGCATTCTCAACAATGTATGGCCGCATAATGAAACAGTGGGTTGCACACAATGAAGAGGCAAAGATGCAAGATTTTGAATTCCTCAAAGCTTATTATGGGTGTACACTCCCACAGGCTGGCAATGCCACAATTGAACTGGGAAGAAGCTTAATAAGAAGCCTAATACCTATTTGGAGCTTTTCAAAATCCCACATAAGTATTAATCACAATAATTGATAGTATTATTCAAAATAATGGGACCTCCAGGCAGTGTCTTTATTTAAATCTCCATGCATTATCTCTTCAAAGCTAACTAAAAGGCAAGTTTCAAATACGTTTTAGTTAGTGAAAAACCTAAAACCTTTCTCAATTTGGGAAACTGAGCTATAACTGTCTATTTTTTGAAAAGCAATGGCAAATATTTGAAAGACAATTCCCACAAATTAATTTTGGCCAATTTTAAGGAGCATTTCAAAAGGTAATTGAAATTGACATTTCAACCTGTTGAGTTAAATTGAATTAAGTTAAAATAGAATTGTGCCTCTGTTGAAAAGGATATGAGAAAAGGAGATGCCTGTTGCATATGTGAATATATTGGCTAGAAATTGCTAGATTCTGATGCTCTGTACTTTTGCTTACTGAAAAAAATAACGAACAGTTAGTAGGTCCAAATGAGCTTTGATGCTTTTGATAGTGGTAATGAACGTATTTTTGCCTAAGGATTTTCAAAGTCTTTTAGCAGCTGCTTGTATGGAGTTAACAAGGTAACAAATGGTTTCTACCTTCAGAAAAGGTGACACTTCACATGTATCTTCAAAGAGGAAACTAAGGAAGAACATTCACCAATATTTACTGTACTTACTTATTATATAAGTAAGAATATTTCTGGTACTGCCCACCCTTTCAGTTTAATTTTGGAAAAGTGCTAATTAACATGCGGCTAAGGCATGAATTCTTTTCAATATGTTAAGCACCTCAAACAAAAATTAGCCGAGGCTATGGATGTCTTCAGCATTGCAGTAAGTGTGAAAGTCGCTTTCCATTTTGTTTTCCTTCTTATGTACATTCAAATGCATGAATTAATTTCATAATTGTAATTCTCCATCATAGCTTTATGATAGTTCTATAAGCTTGAGTAACACAAAACTTCTGTTCGGCCTATTGTAAACTCTACGTGTGCTTGTATAAGGTATATGAAATATTCTAATTTCTGCAAGTGCCCAAATTATGTATTACTGGGACTATGTATACTCACATATCTTCTGGAGTCCAGTGAAGCAGCAACTTAATTTTTCCAGAATCCTCTTTTCTTTTAGCTATTACCTAAAAGCAACCATGAGAAAAGTGACTCCAAGCATTTCTTTAAGTTCTTTCTTGATTCCCTGCCCTGAAAAGATCTGGTCCAAATGCTTTATGCCAATAAGCACAAGTGTCTTGGGATGCATTTTTTTTCATGGATTCTGATGGCCATTTTCTCTAAAAGCAGCTTACTTCTGAGATGATGTTCAAATTCATGTGAGATGCTGCTAATGCATGTGTACATTCCCTTTTAATCTCTGCCCTCATCTCCTGTAACTGCCTTTCTCAAATCTGAGACATTCCCATGCTGCCACCCTAAAACATCTGGAGCGTATCCAGTTGGGGAAAGCTTTCATATGTTATTTATTTTGCACCCTATGGAAGAAAACAATAAGTTTCTTAGCCTGCCTCATGCAAGACATATCAAATTGGGTGTTTGGCCTTCAGCTTGATTCATGAAGAGACTGCATAAAGAAATAGTTCAAGCCCAAAACTGAAAACATCTCAATGTTCTGTAAAAATATTAATGTCGGGATAAAAGCAAGACAAAAAAGCTTGTAATTGCAGGTTTCAGACATATTTCTAGAATTCTATATCCGGTGTACAGGTCCTGGAGCAGTTTCCAAAGCTAATGGGTCATTGAGAAATTCAGAAGCATGCAGATAAAGAGGTGTGGATAGGCTGCTTGCAGAAATATAAAAACAGGACTTAAATGCCATGGAGTAAGAGGGAGTCATTTAGGCTGACTCCCAACTTCTGATCACTCAAAAATTTTCTAGTCTGGCTTTTCCCTCAAGTGTTAGGGCCATGTTGTTAGCGGAGCACAATATAGGCAAGTCTGGGGATTGAGAGTTATATATGAGGTGCCTCGGCTTTTCTATTTTGTATTTATTATATTTGTTTTTAAATGTATTTTTGTTTTATACTGGTTTGTGTTGTTAGCTGGCCAGGGTTGTTTGGTTAAGATGGTCAGCCATATATATTTTCTAAATGAATAGAAAAAGCAAGTCCCTCTCAAGTGTGGGGGCTCTGGTAAGAAAATCAGGAAAGGAGTTGATTAGAGAAAGCAGCAAAAACTGAAAGTATTCATTGTGTAAAACCAAGAGAAATACTGCATATTTACTCTGTTTTGGAAAGCTGTCTTGCCTACTAAGCTCAAAAGCTACACACAGTTTCTCAAAGAAAATCATAGTTCATCCCAATGTTTTGAACTGATTAGGGGACAGGATTTTTTCACAGGAGCTTCCAACTTCTCATCTGATATGAAGAGTAAGATGATTGTACATTACTATTTTCCTACCCTGCATGCCAGTTTTTTTACACTTGCTTTAAAAAAACAACTCAAAAGCTTCAATGCAGCATTATTAGCAAATCTATACCTGCATTTTTGAAGGGAATCTTTCAAAGAAAGTATACAATATTTTCAAATACTAGTGAAGTATTCTAGCAATCTTCAGCAACACTTATATTTGAAACAAAAATACAACAGTATTAAATATGATAATAAAAAATGGCAAAAAAAAAACTGGCTACAAAAAGGTTGATCATAAAACAATTTCTAGACTTGGAAATTAGAAGTGGTGTAAAACATGATTAAACTAGTTTTACCTGTTTCCATGTTATTTTCTTACAATTAAGATAGGTGCAAGATGGATTTGGGAGAAACACCATGTCTGGAATACCGTAACTTTATTTTCAAGTCTATGGAAAGCATTTCACAAATACAACAGCCAACAAACAGGGGGCCCAATTGGCCAAATACTATATTTTATGTATCAATCAAGATATCAACAGGCAATGATAGAAAAGTTTAACTCATAGTTACATCTGAGGTAAATAACCTGGTGTCCTTCAAACATTTTGGACTATCATTCCGTTCTGACCTTCTATGGTCAGAATATGGCCAGTAGTGAGGTATCATGAAAGCTCTAGTCCAAAACATCTGGAAGGCATTGATTTCAATACCCTTTTTGTGGATTCAGAAGATCCCCCAGAAGGTACTTTACCAAGTAGCAACAATGAACCTTCTTATCTAGGGCAATGGGGGGAAAGCAACAGCTGAAGTTCCCCATGAAGAGAAACTCCATGAAACCTATTTTCTAAGCTTCTGTTATTATCTTGGTGAGAAGAAACTTGTATGGGGAGGCATTTGCTCAGACCTTCAAAGCAGGGGCAAATAGCCACAAGTCAGCTATCAGAGTATTATTGCTAGCTTTATCTTCAAATGGTTGCATGACCATTCATGGGACTGCAAAGATTCTGACAGAGAATGGTATCTTCCACACAAAACTAACTTTCCTATTTTCTACTGTAGACTTTCTGAAAAGTCAATCTTTACCAGGAATGAAGGTTACATATATGCAAATGGAGTTCTGCTGACCTCTCCTGGAGAACAACAGAAATAACTCAAAGATGTTACTCTTCCATATTACACTGTTTAGCTTCAGCCACTAAATGTTTTGAAATGTGTAGTGCACTCATATAGCATCTGCCTGCAACTCCTTAAAGCAGCTGGGTCTTTTCTCAGAATTTTATTGCAGAGTGTTGATATAATTCTCTTTCTCAGAATCAGACATTATATTTAGATCCTCAGAATCACAGTCTTAAGATCTGAAAATGTTGATGATTTGTATGCTTCTACCTCCTTTCTTCTCAAGCTACTTATTGATTCAGTGGAGCCTAATCAGACACAGATGAACAATAACCTCCAAGCTGTGATCTGGAATCATGTTCTGAAGGAGAGTAACAAGAGATTTCAAGCTAACTATAATCAGTCCAACTTCATCCTAGAAAGCAACATCTTAAGCAGCAATGGCTCTCCTGGGGGCTTCTGTCCAAGTGAACCTGGTCTGGTCCCATCTCCTTCTCTATCACCAAGACAGCCAGCCCACAGTCATTCTGATATGTTGCAAAAGAAAACTGGAGTATGGCTGTGAAGCACTTTGCACCAAGTGTAAAAAGGTGTGTAATCAGGACACTTGCTGATAAAGAGAACTTATACAAGAACAGCAAATACTCTGTTTCAGATGGTAAGTACCAACTCAAAGAAGGGTGGGGGGAATGAGCCATCACATATGCAGCCAAATGGTCAGAATCATTCTCTCTTTTTATGACAATTTTGTAAGTGGGAATAAGTGGAGGTGACTAAAATTTAGAGCAGGAGGAAGCAAAAGTTCTTCAGTTATCCTGAACAATAACTCCCGCAAGTCTCACCAATGACCTTGCTAGCTAGAGCAAATAAGAATATGAGTTAAAAATCAGGGGAAACTCTGGAAATGATGGAGGGACATCTGTATATATCATGACATGCTCAAAAATATACTGGAACCAAGCAGAGTAGAACTATTCAAATCACTCTTTTCCTTATGGTGAATAGGGTCATATCACAATTCTTGCCATCTTTTCGACACTTACGAAAATAAAACTATTTTCTCTCATTACTGCTTTTAAACAAGATAGGGAATTCTTTCCAATCTCTTTACCAGCAGTGGCCATAGGAAGTATTCATATTTTCTTCTCTGCAATCACACTCCTCTCACCCTCAAGTCCTGCGCTGCTACCCCATTGTGGTGATGGGTGTTCCTAGGAGAGATGAGTGAAGAACACCAGGAATACACACCAAAAGTATATATTCCTAGCAGGGTCACCCAAAGCATGAAGGTCATGTATATTGCCCAGCTAAAGCGAGGAGACACTTATATCAGGCAGCAGAGATACAGGAAGATGCTTGAGGCAGATGATCACTTTAATGACAACAGCAAAGTTTCCTACTACATGGTAAACAACTCCGGTGTTTTACCAAGAAACCACATGGATAGACAAGATAAAGTGACTGAAAATACACTATCAGATAATGGATCCTTAGGTTGTATGGCACTCAACATGCCACTGAGGAAGATCTAAGGTTCTTTTGGAATACTAATGATGTTTATGACACAGCTCGATTAAACCCTTCAGGATGTCCAACTGCTGATGTTGCTGTGAGGAAGAAGAAAATCTGAAGCAGCAAAGATGGAATTATAGTGGGAACACAGAATGTAAAAGCATGAACATGGGATGCTCAACAAAGAAAAAGATAAGATGAACTGGTTACAGATTGACATCTGAAGCATCAGAGAATTGAAATTGATTGGAATTAGGCACTTTTAAGTCAGAAGATCATACTGTTTACTACTCAGAATACAAAAAACAAAGAAGAAAACTAAGAAATGGCACTGCTTTTATAGTAAGGAAGGATACAGAAGGGCAGTACTTGGGTACAATGGAATCAATGACCAAATAACATCAATTAAGACTTTAATATGATGTTCATCTAATTTTATTCTCCAACCACTGATGCAAGATGACAAGTTTTATGGTCAAGTTCAATCTGAAACTGACAGAACATGCAAGCAAGACGTGCTGCTTGTGGCTGGAGACTAGAATGTCAAAGTTAGAAATAATGAGGAAAACGTAGCTGGAATGTATGGTGCAGGAAACAGGAATTAAGGAGAACAAGTTATCAGCTTCTGATTTCTTTACTGATAACACATTCTTCAAGCAACCAAAACAAATTCTGAACACACAGACATCATCAGATGGAGAACACAGAAATCACACTGACTATATTATTGGTATAAGGAAATGCAACAGCTAAATTAATCAGCAAAGACATGGTCAGGGGCTGATTGTAGAAAAGATCATGATCAGATCGTGTGCAAGTTCCAAGTCAAGCTAAAGAGGAAGATCAAAGCCAACAGTTTCCACAATATAATCTTGAGCATATACCTACCATTTTCAAGGAGAATATCAGGAACTGCTTTGAAGTCCTGAACCTCACTGATAGAGAACCAGAGGAACTGTGGAATGAAATCAAAGAAGTTATAAAAGATAAACGTGGAACAAGACTGGCAAAGACCAAGAAATAGAAGAAACCAAACTGGATGTCAGAACAGATGGTGGAAATTGCCAGGAAGAGGAGGGAAGCCAAAGCCAAGAAAGACAAAGATCTCAGGAAGAACTTAACACAAAATTTTAGAGAGCTGTTAGATGAAACAAGGAACAGCATTAACAACAGCATCTGTATATAGAAAACAGAAACAGAAATAGAAAAATAAGGAAACATTTCCAAAAGATCACCAAACTCAGAAAGAGGTTCCAATCTCAAATTTGTATGCTAGAATACACCAATGGACAGATAATAAGTAATTCAGAGAAGATCAAATAGAAATGGAAGGAGTATTTTGAAATACTATACAGTAGAGATGTCAACATCTAAGATACCTTTGAAGATATTCCCTACTTACAAGAGCCAGCAGCGCTAGAAGATGAAATTAGATCAGCACTCTGGTTGTTACAAGTAGGAAAGGTACAAGAATTGATGGAACATCTACAGAAACAGAAAACAACAGAAGAATCTGGTAATGGTTCTAATCACACTATGGCAGCAAATCCGGAATGACACAGCGGCTGGCAGATTGGAAGAGGTCAGTCTACATACCAATACCAAAGAAAGGAAGCCTAACAGATTGTACAAACTACTGCACAATATCTTTAGTTTCTGATGCTAGCAAAATTATGCTCAGTATCATCTAATGCAGATTATACCCCTAAATGGAAAAAGATGCCAGATATTCAAGCTGGCTTTAGAAAGGGCTAAGGAACAAGAGACATTATTGCTGATCACACTGGATAATTGAGAAAGCCACAGAATATCAGAAAGAAGTGAATGTGTTTTATTGACCACAGAAAGTCCTAGGACTGTGTTGACCATATTAATCTGTGGAATGTCCTTAGGAAATGAGACTCCCAAATCATCTCATTGTTCTCACTGAAATCGATACACAGAACAGAAAGCCATCGTCTGGATGGATTTTGGAAAAACAAACTGGCTACAGGTTGAAAAAGGAGTGAGACAAGGCTGTATCACCTTACTTATTCAAACGATATGCTGGATATATTTTGAGGGAAGATGGATTGGAAGAAGAGTGTGGTTTTAAAATTGGAGGAAGAAATATCAATAACCTGCTCTCTGCTGATGACACTTCTCTGATAGCTGAAAATGCAAATTATCTGCAAACTCTAATAATGAATGTCAAGGAACACGTGAAAAAAATGAGACCACAAGTCCATTAATTAAAGTCAAGGAGCATGTGAAAAAACTGAAACTATGATTAAATGTGAAGACAACAAAACTAATGACTACAGATATAGCTACCAATCTTAGAATTGACAGTGAAGACATTCATGTGGTGAATAACTTATGTGCCACAGACTAATACTTGACAGTATAGCAAGGAAGGTCTTGGAAAAGATATTCAGATGCCATGACATGGCTATATCTACAAAGATTAGAAGCAAACAATGGTTTTCCCTGTGACACTCTATGGAAGGGGAAGATGGACTCTGGAGAAGCTGGACTGAAAAAGTATTAACACTTTTGAACTTTGTTGTTGGAAAAGACTTTTAAGAATACCATGGCTAGCTATGAAAACAAACGAATGGATCATAGAACAAATCAATCCAGAGTTCTCACTTGTAACACAAATGACCCGGCTCAAATCATTTTGGACACATTACATGAAGACTTCGCTGTTTTGAGAAGTCTATAATGCTAGAAAAAGTGGAAGGAAAGAGAAAAAAAGGATGACCAGCAGCAAGGTGGATAGACTCAATTACAATTACTATGAATATAGCATTAAGAGACCTAAAAGGACAGATAATCCTGGAGAAAATCTATCTATGTGGTCAATGAGAGTCAACACTGATTTGATGGCACTTAAGTAACAAGCGTGTGTTCCTAAATGCTGCAAGTATTTGTGTGTATGTGTGCACAGGGAAACATGGGGGTGGGTTGCACATATTCCTCTTTGGTTCAGAAAGGGTGACAGAAAGAAGGCAGGCCTAGAATGCAGGAGCCAGCAGCATTCTGAGCTACTACCCAATTACCTACCTCTTCAACAGGGACATCCTGATTCCCTTTTCCACAGCCCCTGGCCATATCGTGACAGTTACGGACCTTCATCTTTCTTTTGTCAGTTTCTCCTGTCACACCAGATTTGTCACATTGTGTTCTATTCTGAAGAGTCATCATACTGACGGACAGAGTTCTGAGCCTCTTTACATAATTTCTTTCCAACTTTCAACTAAGTCTGGTATAACTATTTAAAGTGCTAGGGTAGTATTCTGAGAGCAGGATTCAAATTGTCATTTATTCATGACTGTGGTCTAGTGGTTAAGGTGCTGAATGAGCCTCTGGGAAACCAAGGTTCTAGTCCTTTCTCAGCCATGGATTACTTTTAGCTGGTCACTCAAAACAATCTACTTCACAGAATTATTATGGAGAGAAAACTGAAGGCAGGAGTGCTATATAGGCCATGGGCTCCTGGAGGAAAGATGAGATATAAATCTAACCAACCAAAATATGAAATTTGTTGAGTAATCCTGGAGGAATCACAGCCTAAACAACTTTACAGGATATTCTGCTGTGAGGATAAAAGGAGGGGTACATGAACTGTATATATTCTTGGAAGAACAGCACAGAAATCTTTGTAAAAGACTTTTCCTACTACTTTTGAGCAACATTATATAAATTAAATTTGTGACTACAGTGCACAAAGATATAAATATCAGTGTAGAAATGCTGTTTCAAAATACTGGAGATCTTATAAATATACCAAGTATTGTAGGTAATAATACTTACAGTACTGTGGAATACAACGCTGTGGCCTTTTCCCAAACTTTCTATGTGAGCAGAAAGGTTAAAGCAAATAGCTCGATGTCGTATTGCGTCCAAGGTTTGTGCATCAAAGAAGTCATGAGGTCTTGCTAAGGAAGAAAAAAACAAAATAAAGCAAGCCTTCAACTATAATGCAAGACCATATGTAACATATTTAAATGTTCAGCTTTTCTGATCTTACTCAAGAGGGAAGAAAGATTTCTCCAGCGCACAGGCTATAAAACTGGATATACAGGTTGTCCCCAGTTTAAGAACGAGTTCCGTTCCCAAGGTCTGTCCTTAAGTTAAATTTGTATGTAAGTATTATTGTATAATACTGCATAACTAGTATTGTCTAATGAACTTGAACCATTGCGTATTTAACTCAAACTTTGCTACAATAGGCTCCGTTCTTAACTGAGGGTCTGTAAACTGGGGGTTCTTAACCCAGGGACTACCTGTACCTACAATTATCCTGTTTTTAAAATGGCAACCATCTTGTGGACATAATACAGTATGAACTGTTCATATCATGACTTTCTGGGTAGTCAGTTCTAATGTCAAACTTTTCTTACTATGACAAAGTCTTCTATTAACGTTTAATTGAAATTTGCCTTTTGTAATTTAAATGCATTATTCCATATCCTGCATTCAGGTGATAAAGGATAGGTCTGGACTTTTCCCTCTGTTAAATCTTTTTAGGCATTTGAAAACTGGCATTATATTTTCCTTTCAAAATTAAGCCTTCCCAGTTCATTCAATCTTAAATTTCTAGTCCCCAAATCAACCTTCCCATTTTTTAAAATAGGGGCTGTCCTTCAGTCACCCCCAACTTATTCACCCACACTGTGTCTGCACAATCATGTCTGGTGGCACTGTTTAAGGTTATCAGTTCCCTTCGAGGGAAAAATGGGGTGAAAATTCTCTTGCAGACCACTGTGATGTTTGCAATTTTTTTTTTTTTTTTTGGTAAAATCATCAGCATTCATTCCAAGTTTGACTCTACTTGAACAAGGCCTAGAGACAGGAGATGCAATGTTTTGTGAGACAATCTAATATGAGGTTAAAGTAAGATACAAATAGTTTGATCCATACCTCACCTAATTCTTCTGTGTAGTTGGCTAGATTGGGGAGGTGATTAATGCTTCATTAAGGGAAAGAATGATGCCAACCACATTAAAGAATGTTGTGGTGTGCTTCTTTCTAAAAAACCCTTGATCTTGATCTAACCACTTTATGTAGTGATTGATTCTAACCTTTCCTTTCTAGTGAAGATTTTAGAGAAAGTGATGGAGGTCCAGCTACAGAGGATCTAGAAGAGATTTTCTGGACCCCTTACAGGCACCTCAGGCCTGGACCTAGGCCTGAAATGGCACTGGTCACCCTCACAGATAACCTCTGGTGGGACCTGGGTACAGGAGTGTACCTTTCCTAGTCCATTTAGATTTCTTGCTAGCCTTCAATACCATCTCCCATGGTATCCTTCTAGATAACTTATAAGAACTGGTGCTTGGACACACAGTTCTTCAGGCGTTCTGCTCCTTCCTAACAGAGTAGTTCTAGTCAGTGTGTGTGGGAAAAGTATTTGCTTTACTATGCTTGAAATTCACAGCTAATTCATTTCTTGTACACTGAGCATTAGTGGACAATGAAGACCATAAATTTTTATGAATTAGTGTCCTTTCTGTTTTTTCAGTGAGTGGTTTAACGAGCTGTTACACAGCACTCCTTCAATATAAACACGTTTATCTGAGGTCATTATTTCATGGTTTTCTCCTCCTATTTTCACAGGATTGAACCATTCCTGATTAAACTTGCAATGTTTCAGCCAAATACACTTTTACTTGTCCCTGTGAGGTGCAACTCATCTCATGCCCACAGTCCTTCCTTCAGATAATTCAGATCATGGTTCCAGAAACTAAATCGTTCTCAAAACATCTGCATAACAGCCAATATTCTTCTTTCTCTTTTCATGGAAGATTCATCTTCATTCAACAGCTTCTCTTGACTGAACAGCTTCATAATACCAACCAACACACAATAAATATAATTACTTATGCTACATATGTAACAATAAAAGGAAGTTTCTGGGCTACTGCTAGTGTGAACCACTCAGGGCTGTAATTCTACCCCTTGAACTCAAGAAATTATTTTTTAATTCAAGCAGCTTCCATATCCTGTTTATTTGGAGAAAATTCTTACTTCAACAGTAGCTGCTATATGGTTGCAACTGTTTGAATCCAATTCAGATACAATGAAATAAATACAAAATATGGGGAGGAAGTTAATTTTTATCAAACTGAGCATATAAATGATAGTGTTTGTGCTCAACTGAACCACAATAATAATAATGTAAAGAGAAGATTTGAATTATGCTTTGCATAAAAAGTAACAATTTTTATACTCTTGCAGAAGTATTGTTACCACTCTGTGGACTGCAATCAAGTGGAATGTAATGGGGAAAATGGGTGCTCAAAGACCCTTTCAAATTTGAGCTAGGATTGAAAAAAATACTTTTTGTGCTGATTTTTTTCAGAAGACATCCAAATCCAGGTTGGGGTGCTGAACAAATTATACAGGCTTATGGATCCTCTTCAGCTGTTCAGCAAAGACAATATTTTAAAGACTAAGCAAGCACAGATTAAAAACATATCTCAGTAGACTTCCTTCACCACTTGTCCACAAAGGTTAGGCATATCTCATATAGAAAAAAACAAACAGAACAAGGCTCACACTTCACTAATTATGGATCAAAATCATCTGACAAAATCTGCTGCATTAAATCCAGCAATACTAAGCTTTGGTTTTCTGAATAATATTTCATGCAGAATCATATCACTAAAGATATGGATCATTTCATAATTCTGAACAAACTATAAAATATTTAAATTGGCAGTGAGGATAAGAAAATCCCATTTGTGACATCAATCTGTGATAGTTGATTATATGAAATACACGTACATTAGTTATATATAATTCAATGAAAACAGAAGAAAACAAACTGGATGTCAGAACAAACTGGAAATTGCCAAGAAGAGAAGAGAAGCCAAAGCCCAGAAAGACAAAAATCTTAGAAAGGAACTTAAGAGAAAGTTTCAGAGAGCTGTTAGAAGAGATAAGAAGCAATATTACAACATCTGTAAAGACACTGAAGATGGAAACAGACACGGAAAGATAAGGAAAGTCTTTCAAAAGAACTCTGAACTCAGAAGGAGGTTTCAACTGTGAATTGGCATGCTAAAGAACTCCAATGGACAGCTGGTAACCAATTCAAAGGAGATCAAACAAAGATGGAAGGAGCATACTGAAATACTGTACAGTGGAGATGTCAACATCCAAGATATCTTAGAAGACATTCCTACTTACAAGAACCTTTAGTACTAAAAGATGTAGTTAGATCAGCAGTCTGGTCATTACCGAGCCATGACAAACAACAGAAGAAGAATCAGTAAAAGTTCTAACTAAGCCATGCAAGCAAATTTGGAGAATGGGACAGTGGCCAACTGATTGGAAGAGGTCAATCTACATTCCAATACCAAAAAGGAGACTTAACCGAATGTGCAAACTATTGTACAATAACCTTAATTTCACAAACTAGCAAAATAATGCTTAGGATCATCCAATGCGGATTAGACACCTAAATGGAAAAAGAGATGCTACATGTTCAAGCTGGCTTTAGAAAAGGCCAAGGAACATGAGACCTAATTGCTGATGCATGCTGGATAACTGAGAAAGCTAAATATCAAAAAGAAGTCACTATGTGCTTCATTGATTATAGAAAAGCCTTTGATTGTGTCCATCATGTCAAACTGTGGAATGTGCTTAGAAAAATGAATCCCAGAACATTTCATTCTCCTGAGAAACCTATATACAAATCAGGAAGCCACAGTGTGAACAGAACATGGTGAAACAGACTGGCTCCAGGTTGGTGAAGGAGTGCGACAAGGCTGTATATTCTCCCCTTATCTATTCAACTGATATGCTAAGGGAAGATGGATTGAAAGATGAATATAGCTTTAAAACTGGAAGAAGGAATATCAATACCCTTCCTTATGCTGATGAGACTACCCTGACAACCAAAAATACAAAGGATCTGCAAGCTCTAATAATGAAAGTCAAAGAGAAAAGTGAAAAAAATGGAATTAAAATTAAATATAAAGAAGACCAGACTAATGACATCAGGTAGAACAACCAGCCTTAGAATTGGCAATGAAGATACTGAAGTGGTGGACAGCTTCTGCCTTTTAGGATCAACCATCAACAGTAAAGGAACAGTCAAGAAAAATGCCACAGACTAGCACTTGGTAAAGCAGTCACGAAGGCCTTGGAAAAGATATTCAAATGTTGTATGTGTCTATACCTACAAAGATCAGGATAGTGCAAGCTACAGCATTCCCCATGACACTCTATGGAAATGAAAGTTGGAGTTTGAAAAAGCAGGATAGGAAGAGTACTAACACTTTTGAACTTTGGGGTTGGAGAAGACTCCTGAGAATGCCAAAGACTGCCACGAAAACAAACTGATGGATCATCAAACAAATCAACTCAAGACACAAATGACCAGGCTCAAGTTATCCTACTTTGGACACATTATGGGAAGATTAGCTCTCTGGAGATGGTTCTAATGCTGGGAAAGGTGGAAAGAAAGAGAAGAGGACAACCAACAGAAAGATGGATGAATTCAGTTATGGCAATGAATGTGCCATCGGAAGACCTAAAAGAGCAGGTTAGGGTCAGACTGTCATGGAGAAAACCTGTGTGGCCGCTACAAGTTGAGAATGACTTGATGGCACATAATAAATCAATATAGTTCAATACTTGAAGCTGTGGTCATGGAGAAATAAAAATGTATTCATGAGTCAGCATGCAACTTAACAATGACTTGATTTATGTATCAGATTTAGGTATAATGTATTTGATTTTAATTTAGTGTCTTGTGTGAACACAGTCCCTATGGCTTGGAACCATTGTTCGTGGATTACTGTGAATCCAGACAACAGTGGCTTGTAACATAAAACATGACTTTGAACCAAACCAACTGAATCAAATCAAGCTGTCAGAAGATCGTAGCTTGAATCAGGAAATGTGCTAGACACACCAAGAAAATTCC